AAGGAATGTGGGCCTCCCCCAAAATGCTGACCTACTGAGGCGGCTATCCTAAGGCTGCCGCTAGAAGCTCTATGGCCCATCTGCCCTATGCTTGGCTTCTAGGAAGAGATTCCATCAAGACTGCAGCCAGTGCCCAGCCAGAAGACAAGGCACTGCCTCTCCAGTGGCCCATTTTATCTTGACTTTCTGGCAGGGAATCCCTCTTGGTACTTCTGCCAGCCGGGGAATTCCCTTACCAGCCAGCCAATCCGTGGGCTTCAGCTGCTGGGGACAGTGAATGGTGTGAAGCAACTGCTGCCCACCTGAGAAGGGTGAGCAGCCATTCTTAATGTGCAGAGCTGACTCGAGTCACCCTAAACCAGGGGTAGGCAACCTAAGGGCCATGGGCCACAAGTGGCCCATGGGGGTCGTTTAACCGGCCCATGAGCCTCCCCCAAACTGAGCCACCCGCTCGGCAAGTCTCTGCATGCTGTGCTAAACCAGCGCAGTGCAGCACAGTGACTCACTTTTGCGGTGCCGGAAATCACATCTGCGCAGACACAGATGCCGGAAACCATGTCTGCACAGACGCATACGCTGGAAATTGCAGCTGCGTGCGCTTGCGCTCGCTCGCAATCCAGCCCACAGAGGGATCTCTGCTGAAGTGAACTGGCCCAGGCGAGGTAAACCTTGCCAACCCCTTCCCTAAACCGAGAAGACAACAATACCCAACCTTTTTCCCAAGCGCACCTCAAATCAAGCACAAAGATCAACCGTGCCCCGAAGGAAGGGCCAAAGCCCAAATCTGCTGGAAGCATGGTGTTGTTTCTAAAGCATGCAGTGTCTTGTTTCGTTCAGCAGTTCTTTGGTATAAATTCAGAAAAGTTAATATACGAGTTGTTCCAGCACATGCAGCTGCGTTAATTAAACAGCAATCTCCACATAATTTTTTATGCCCCTGGATGCTTTGAAGACCAAATGCTTCTCTCTGCTGCTATTTTATTATGTATTTACTCAGTTCGAGCTCATTCTGCATGTTTCTTACTGCATATGTTCGATTCTCCCCCTGCCCAAGTTGCTTTTAAATTTATTTTCCACACATCCATGGGGCAAGATTAACAAAGAGACTGCCATCTGTGCCCAGATGGAGTTTTCTGTCACAACTGTTGACATGTAAAGGGAATTTTATATTTTGCTTGGACGCCACTTCTGCTTTTTTTGGATTAGGTATTTTGAGCTGGACTATAAAAATAGACTTAAATGTATAGGCTGTAGCAATTAATGCATTATTTACATTACTAAACTACAAACACATAGAGCCTATTGGCCCCCAGATCTTTGGCCAGAATAACCTATCTCCTGTCGATTTGATGCTTTGAGATACTACCAGCAAACTTCTGAAACTGTTCTGTATGCCACTGTGCCGATGGTTTGCTGCCAGAAAAAATACCCCAAAGCCAGGTTGTTAGGACACTGATGTTTCTCATGCCTTCATTGGTAGCGGAGCATTGAAAATGTTCACATCGAGCCCTGCTGACACTGAAGTCATGCAGAAATCCCAGTGGGCTGATGCAGCAGGAGTTGCTGATCAAGGAGATTAGGCTGGTCTCGTTTCATTTCTTGTCTAATGCTGTGTTCCACATGGCTGCTGTACCTTGAGAAGTGATGTGGAGCTTGATGGCAGAACGAGAGGATAGATAGCTGCAAAACAAGCTATGCAAGAGTGCTGCAGCCATAGAAAAGTGAACGCTGTTGATCTCCTGTCTTCTGATAAAAGCCCTGTTGTTCTTCACACCTGAAGAGATGCAATTTGGGCAAAGCAATATAAAATTATAGAGTCACAGAGCTGGAGGATCATAGAGTCCAACTACCTGCAATGCAGGAATATGCAGCTGTTCCATACAGGCATCAAACCTGGTATCTTGGTCATGCAATCAACACCATGCTCTAACCAACTGAGCTATCTAATTAAAAGCAAACCCATTGCGTGGCGAGTTCCCGTCCCATCCCCCCAATGGAAATAAAGACACATGACACAATTATTAAGGTTAATGGGCTAAATAAGGCCACAACCTGGTTACAGGTGGTGAGCGATATTGGCTTAGGCATTGGTCCTAACCGACTATATCCGGCTTCAGCCCGTCCGCTTGAAGTCCGGAAAGGGTTAACCACCAGTAGGGGGAATCCTGCTGATGCACATCAACTAGGAACTCCCCCAGGGTCACCGACAGGGGGCGTGCCTTAGGCCCTCACCTCCATAGGCTTTAGACAGGGCCACGCCCCCAGAGAATCCTTTATCGGACTACCCTTCAATATGCGGGACAGGTGATGGCGTTTCCTCCCCTCTTCCATCTATAAAAGAATACCAATGCCTAACCGCCAATACTGAGAAAGTTGTGATGATTTGCTATGAGGTAGGCGAAAACCAAGTGGCTGGTGCCAATTTGCCAAGTGGAAAAATTCCTACCAGGCCCCTCAACAGCGACCAACCAAGGTCCATAGCAAGGTCGAAGAACGAAAACCTTAAAGGACGGGAGGGTGGGAAACAGGAACAACTGATAGGTGGGAAAAGTGGGAGATCACCGGCCGTGCCTGCATTAAATAAGGCAGGCCATGCCTCCAGAGCCAGCCGATTGGCTGGCCAGGGGATGACACGGCCGGGGATTCCCCTGATCGCTCGGGGGCTGGGCTCCAGCCACCGCGTGCGTGGTGGGGCCGTGATGCCCGTAATCCCCCCTCCTCTGCAGGGCAGAAGTGGCTTTGCTTTCAATATGATTTACTTCAAGGAAGGAGCAGGACATGTCCCCCACCAGAGGTAGTACCCCTCCCCTAACATCCTATACACCCTGCACTTAGCTGTCCCCTGTGGCTCTTAGAAGCTATCAGCACATCACAATGGCCGCACCCTGGGAAATGGCCAGCTAAACCAGGTGAGGGCAGCCTATGGGTCTCAAATCCTCGGTGAGTTAGGGACTTCCCTTGTGTTCAAAGACAGGCTCTGGTGGACTCAGCAGATGAGACCAATAGTGGATCCAACGGTCAAGAAATCGGTTTCTGCAGATGATGCAGATGGAAGTGAAGGGCAGGTGAGGCTCGTCAACCTAGGAAGAAGAAGCAAAACTCTGATCCTAAACCTCCGCTGCCTTGTGGCCATACTCATTTGTGAGAAAGACTTCGGGAGTGAATCCTGGGGGGAAATCCTGCCTTGCAGGACATCTTTGGGAGAAGAAAAGGCTAAGGAGGAAAGCCTACACAAATCCCAAATGGAGTCCCTAAGGCAGTTGGATGGCATCTTGCACACCAGCCTTACAGCAACTCCTGCAGCCAAACTGGTCCCAAACTTACTGCTTTCCTGAGAACCTTGGTGTTGCTAATGCAGCAAAAACAATGCAGGAGGCAGCAGTTACAAGTCAATGGTTTCTGCAGCCACAGCAGGCGCTGTGATTCTCCAGTATTTTGACTCCACACCCCAAGGTGAACACCATTGTTTCTCAAGACAGACACATGCCACGCTTTGAATTACAGCTAAGGCTGGAATGTTATTCCCAGCTACTCAGGGGTAAGTACATGATGAATTGGGGTGGGGTCCTGTGAGCACATTTCCCCTCCTCGCGGTACTGAAATGGCCTTTTCCTTTCCAGTTTCCCATATGTGCAATGCCAACATAAAACGTGTCCTGGCCAGAATGCATACGCAGTTTAAAAATATCTCTCTTCTGCTTTCTGTCCTACATCAACAGTGTTCACATATGCACACAAGTAGGAGAAGTGAGCCTCAGAGATGCTTTTAGTCTCATGTGAAAATTCCTGTTGCCGCTCTGCGTTTGACAGATGTTGCATTAAAGCTTGGGAACAAAGAACTCCACAGCCCTGCCTAGACTAGAGAACAATACCGGGAAGACAGTTTGGGGACTTGAATGTGTCTGGAAGAAAAGGCAGGCGATAAAACTCTTATAAACAACTACAATGGCAAACCTGTCAGCAGTTGAAAAGCACAAGGTGAAGTTTAGCTCCACAACACCAGCACAGCATATCCCCAGTTAGAATCCTCTGTTATGAGGGGGGGGGCATCATTTATTCCTAAAAAAAGAGGTAGTTTTCTTACTTCAGTCCAGTTGCGTTCCAACTGTGGCAAAAGTCAGTTACTTATTATGGCGAAGTATGGGCCTGGAAGGTTAGTATGGGGGCGGGGCTTGTTACATAAACATACCTCTGCTCCCCCACCAATTAAATGTTTGAGGGGGGTGCGCCCTCCCCCCAAAAATGATAGGCATTTTCATTCAAATGGTGTGCACGTGTCACGTCTTGTGATTGATTATGCGGGGCAGGGTTTATCTGGGTCCTCCTAATATTTTATTCAAGTTGGCACCCCTGCTCCCAATGCAGCAGCTTTCAGGGGAATCGATTTAGCCAGTTAAGGAGTAAAAAATTAAACCCTGCCTGCCCTGACCTCGCTTATTTTCAGCTGTCTTCCTTGCGTCCTGCTTTGGGTGGCTACCAGGGAGACGCTGGGCTCTCAGGTGAGGATAAGGTAAAAGTAAAAATGTTAAGGACCCCTGGACAGTTAAGTTCAGTCAAAGGTGACCATGGGGTGCTGCGCTCATCTTGCTTTCAGGCTGAGGGAGCCGACGTTTGTCCACAGACTGCTTTCCGAGTCATGTGGCCAGTATGACTAAACCACTTCTGGTACAACGGGACACTGTAACAGAAGTCAGAGCACACAGAAATGCCATTTACCTTCCCTCTGCAGCAGTAGCTATTTCTCTACTTCTACCGGCGTGCTTTCTGCTAGGTGGGCAAGAACAGGGACCAAGTAACGGGAGCTCACTCCGTCACTCAGAATCAAACCGCCAACCTTCTGATTGGCAAGCCCAAGAGGCTCAGTGGTTTAGAGCACAGCGCCACCCGGGTCCCTTGGGGATAAGGAATGAAGGTCAAAATACATGATATAATGCATGTGTGATCATATTTAACATGGCACTTTTTGTCTTCTTGCAAAGCTGCCAAAGAGAGCGGATGTGCTAATGGTTATTACGTTGCATTGTGGTCCCGACATTGACTTCCCCGTGGCTGCTGTTTAACGGCACCAAAACAGACATATTAAATGCAATCACACATTTAATATAGTGTGGTTACAGTTCGGCCCTAAGGCAGTTGAGTCAAAGGTTTCGTGGAAAGGTGAGTTTTGAGTGGAGGTTTGAAGGAATAGAGAGTGTTGGCAGCACTACATAAATGTTTCAGGAAGGAATTCAGTGGGGCTGAATGAACACACTTAAAAGTAGGTTCTTTAGCTATATAAAAAAACCCCAAGACGCTATAATATCTGGGGTTACAAGTTTGCAGTTGTTTCCACTGTTGCTAAATTTGCCTGCTGGGTGTTTGCATGACACGGGACACATTCACGGTATGGGAAATGAAAATTTGAACTGCTGCATTTGAAAACAATATAACTTCATAGAGACCAAAATGTTATTTACATAGCAATTTAAAGATTATGGACAGTTCTGCTGACAAGTACAATGTAGCAGCTAGAGGCGGTTAGAGAAATGATGTCTCGGAAGGCCCGTGAGCTATTGTGAGTGGGTTATATATTTTATATTATATTTTATATATTTTAAGTTTAAATTTGGAAATTGGTTGGGCTTTAGCAGGATTTTATTATTGCATTTGACACCCTTGTAATACTGTAACATGAGCAGGTTGGCAATTTGTTTTCAAATTAACATTGGATTTTAATAATGTTAATAACAGCTATTGTTTTTCATGCCCTGCTACAGGCAATTCAGTTGAGCTCACAGGTGGACTCTTGACTTTAATTGAGAGGCCATGTCATCAGATGTGCAACATTATCCTACTTTAGGAGCAGGTAGGTTGCACACATAGAAAGACACACGAGTTAATTTCACCTAAATTGGAGGTGCTGTAAAAATTTTAGGGTGCACACATAGCAGACACACACTTCACACACAGAATAACCCCCCAAAAGTCATCTTTGCACTCCAACTTCCTCTGCAGAAGGAAATACCTTGGAGAAGAAAGAAGAAGAAGAAGAAGAAAATATTATTATTTATACCCCGCCCATCTGGCTGGGTTTCCCCAGCCACTCTGGATAGCTCCCAACAGAATATTAAAAACATGATAAAACATCAAACATTAAAAACTTCCCTAAACAGGGCTGTCTTCCCAATTGTTATTTCACTTCCAAATCCTTCAAATCCTGTTTTAAGAGCATATTTTGTGGAGTCGGCCCCAGTAACCTGGATTCAATAACTAAGGTACAGCATATACGATCTCAAAAGAATGGCCAGACTGCCCAGGTAATGCAATCAGTAAAACATGATCAGGTATCTTGACAGACAGGAGAGAAGCCATACTCTCAAATTTCTGTTGTAGACCGCCTCTTTCTGTGACGCATGTATGATGTTTTCGGGTGGTCTTTGGTTAAGGGGTTGGATGACGTCTAAAGTCTTTAAAGGTTCTTGCACACTTTGTTCTGGTCCTCACCTTCTTGCAAGTGGCCACGGGGGAACTCTGTAGCAATAGAAGAAAACAAAATATATTCCTTGCTAGAATGGATAGGTAAGGTGATGGACTATGCAGAATTGGCAAAGTTAACAGCTAAAATAAGAAAACCTAATGCTGAAGGTTTCGTGGAAGAACGGAAACCCTTTTCGGAATATTTACAGAAATATTAAATGATGAACACTTGAGCAGGATTGGAACTATGAGCATTAAAGAGATTAAAGGTTACAGTGGTTTTGTTAAGGTTTAAGAGATAGAAGATAGGCTGCAGCAAAGGGAGAGAAACACAAACACCATGGAAAAGGGAGTGGGATGTAAAAAAGGAGGCTATTATGTATTGAAAGGCATGTGGAAAAATTTTTGGAAACGTAATTTTAAAAAAGGCTTCTTTTTCTCTGACCAATAACGGACTTAGGGGACACTGCATCCCTTAATGGAGAGTTGGGCTGTAAATGTTAACACCCCCCCCCTTCCCCCCCCCCCTATAACAGGGGTTTAGCTAAATTGACCTAACTGGAATTTATTTCAACGCGGTGTTAAAATAAATAGCAAAATCCTGATAGCCCTCAACACAGCAGGGACTGGGAAGGGGGACCCCATTCTACACCTTTGCCATCTTAATTAATAACCTCTCAATGGGATTCGCTCCCACCCTCCGCCTCTAAGCAGTTTTAAGCCAGTGTTTCCCACGCTTGGGTCACTAGCGGCCGTCGGACGACAACTCCCATCATCCCTGACCGCTGGTCCCGCTAGCTAGGGATGATGGGAGTTGTAGTCCGACGGCCGCTGGAGACCCAAGCGCGGGAAACAGGGGCTTAAGCGAATGGCGAAACTGCCCAGCTAACCCAGATCTCGCTAACACAGTGGAGATAAAACCCACCGCTGGCCAAAGGCTCCAAGAAGCGCCAGCGGCGCGCAGCCAGCTCGGGGCGTTCCGCTTACCTCGGCGGGGGCGGGATGTCCGTGAGGTGTGGGCTCGGCATTGGCTCCGCAGCCCGCCTATCACTTTTCTCCGAGCCTGGCGGAAGAGCCGACGAGCAGCTTCCTTCCGACCGCTGTAGGGGAGTTGGGCCGGCAGCTTCGCCGCTTCCGCCCGGCCTGCTCAGCAGCTGCCCTGTCTGGTTCTGTCAGCCACGGAAAGCGCCCGGAGGGACTGATCCGGGCAAGGTACGTGTTTGGTTTCCTGACCGCTGAGCTCGCTTCGGCTGCTGAAGGTTTCCTCCCCGACCCTTGGCCGCTTTGTTTTCTCTCTCTCTCTCTCCGTTGCGCAGTGGGGGAAAGCAATAATAATAATAATGTTGTTTAGTCGTGTCCGACTCTTCGTGACCCCATGGACCAGAGCACGCCAGGCACCCCTGTCTTCCACTGCCTCCCGCAGTTTGGTCAAACTCATGCTGGTAGCTTTGAGAATAATAATAAATAATGATGATGATGATGATGATTAATATAATATTGTTGTTGTTATCATTTATACCCCGTCCATCTGGCTGGGTTTCCCCAGCCACTCTGGGCAACTCCCAGCAAAATATTAAAATACAATACAGTGGTACCTCTGGTTAAGAACTTAATTCGTACTGGCGGTCCGTTCTTAACCTGAAACTGTTCTTAAACTGAAGCACCACTTTCTCTAATGGGGTCTCCTGCTGCCGCCGCGCCGCCGGAGCACAATTTCTGTTCTCATCTTGAAGCAAAGTTCTTAACCCAAGGTACTATTTCTGGGTTAGCGGAGTCTGTAACCTGAAGCATCTGTAACCTGAGGTACCACTGTAATCCATCAAATGTTGTGAAGGGCCAGACCAGAAATAGCCTCTCTGGGATGGGGAGCAAGCCCTCGCCCATCCCCCAATTCATAGAATGGTAGAGTTGGAAGGGACCCTGTGGGTCATCTAGTCCAACCCCCTGCAAAGCAGGAATCTCAGCTAAAGCATCCATGACAGGTGGCCACCCAACCTCTGCTTAAAAACCACCAAGAAAAGAGAGTCCTTCCTTGGACTCTCCTTCAGCAGGACAGGTTCTTCTTTGCCTTTTTCTTATGGGCTTTGCTGCTGCTGCTGCTTCTTGTTGTTTATTAGCATAGTTTTCACACAGTTTTAGGAACCTCAGGGGATTAACCCAGAAGTTGCTACTACAGCGGCAAGAATGTTACTTGTCCCCAAATGGAAAGAAGCAGAAGTCCCAGCAAAAGGGAAGAATGGATAGAAAAACTTATGGAAAATGCAGAAATGGCGAAACCTACCGGAAGAATAAGAAACCAAGATAACTCTCTCTCTCTCTCTCTCTAGTATGTATATATATATATGACTGAAAATGGAAATTTAATTTTGAAAAGCTTATAGATAACTTAATTAAACACAGGTCACAATAATTCCTGCCAGATGTTTTAAACATACGCTGTCGTTTTATCAAGGGACACTATATGAGTGTTATGAATGAGTACTATGCTTTCGTCATAGATTTATCACGGGTAACAGGATTGCAAGGTGTTTTGGTGTCACTCTCGATGGTGTCTTCAGCGTGTAAACAGTTTGGGGTGTGCCCTTAGGCGACGTCCTTCGAAAGAGGTCCACAATCGTCAATCTCTCAGCTGGAGGTGCCTTTACGCTTCTTGTTTACTCGGAACAGAAGCTCATGTTCAAGGTAACACAGAAGCCGAAAGCACAGTCCTGAAGTAGACCGAGTGAGACCTCGTCAGAACGTCGGCCTAGACACCCCAACTTTTACACGGGAAGACACCCGAGGACACCAAAACCTGCATATATATATATATATATATATATTTAAAAAGATGAATAAATGAGCAAATTGGGTTAATTTGGATATGCCAGAAGATATTAAAGACAAATTTAAGGAATCGCAGAAAGAAGGGGGATGGAAGTCAAGTTTTTTGAACTGTCAAAATGAATGTAAAATTAGTGAAATGTATAAAATTAGTGAAATGTATAAAATTAGTGAAATGTAGAAATTGGAAAAGTATAAATAAATAAATAGGAAAGCCAGGGGTGGGGGACCTCAAGGCTAGGGGCTGTTGGGGACTTCTGGCTTTCAGAATCTGGCTTGGTGTATTGAGGTATTAATATCGTTAGTACTTCGCAAGGAAACTCTATTCCTTTAAAACAGGAATGAGGAATCCCAGGCACCAAAAGTAGCCCTCAAACCCTTTCCACCTGATCCTTTGGACTCTAGACAGCCCATGTTCCCCTGTTCCTAGGCCACAGACTTCAATACCCCTTCGAACCTGCTCTTTCAGGGAGAATGCAGTCCCATCCAGGGTAGACAACTAACCCATTTCTCAGACAAGGGAGCTGCTCACCCACACTGCCTTTTGCCTTGCCAAGATTTGTTGCTGTGTCCACTGTTGCATCTGGACAGCCTGTAATTTCCCTTGCATGATGGATTGGCCTGATCAGTGATTGCGGATATGGGAGTGAGCTTTTGCAACGTAACACTTTGTGTTGCCCACTCCTCTGAAAGATCGGGCAGATAGGTCTCAGGGTGGTTCACAGAAAAGAAGGGTGGTTCACAGAAAACACAACCTGAGTGTTTCATCATTTTATAGCTCATGAACTGGGTCATTTAATGATCTGCGGCCATGTTCTGTTGCAATACTGTTGAAGCAAAAAAACCTATGTGTAGTGATCAGGTAGGATTGCTATGAGGAATTATAACAAAATATACAGTAAGCCATCTGTGTCAGCAATGAAAGCATTGCGTTGGCTGGGTTTAAACTATTTTGATATGATTCTTGATAAATCCACACCTCTGCATCCCTGTTCCATTTCTCCGTCTTGACAAGTCACATACTGCAGGCAGGCATCCTGGGTCATCAACGATAGTGGGCAGCTTCTTTTGATGTAGCTTTTCTGGTATGTTAATCTTAGGATGTTAATCTTAGGGCCACGAAATAATGATCGCTGTCCTCCTGGCCATCATTCTTATTATGTATATTGCTTGTTTATCACCTCCGGGGTTGCCAGACGGCACTCCTTTTGTAGTTCTGTTTTGTTTAGTAAAGGTAAAGGGACCCCTGACCTTTAGGTCCAATCGCAGAAATGCCATTTACCTTCCCGCCGGAGCGGTACCTATTTATCTACTTGCACTTTTGTTCTTTCGAACTGTTTTGTTTACCCCAGAAATAGGCGTGCTTAATTGGTTTTGGTAGTTTAACTTTTCCCCAATAGGGTTTGTTGAAATGCTCAGAAGAAATCTGATTGGTTCTTATGAACACCCTGTAAAAAGTTCTTTTGTGAATAAAACGACCTGGGCCGAGGGGTAGAGGGAGGGAGATTATTATACGCATCCTTCCCAGAGTCTTGCTGGTTCAAGCCTCTGTGTGTATTCTTATTAATCAGAGTTCAAACCTTCCTTTACTTTGAGAACGCCTCACCTATGTGTATAGCAATTGCCTCACTCCTGTTAGCAACTGTGCTGCAGCATTCTGCACTAATTGCAGCAATTGCGTGGGAGGGAACATCTGGCAGCTGCTCTGAACGTCTCAAATATATGAACGTTTGTTGAAACTCTTGCCGTGGTTGTTGCCTGGCCACACAGGAGCAACAAGTCGCTTCTTCCTTTGCTTACAAGAAAGCCCATGTTGTAGGGCATTTTATGTCTAGCTAGATACATTTCAAGGCTTTTTCTTATTGTTTTCAGCCGCAAGCATGAAATCAGAACCTGAAGTTCCGCTGCACGAAGAGTTCACCTACGTTTATGGAATGGCTACGCAAGTCATTAAGTGTGGGCCTTGGAAAGATCTCTGGAAACGTAAAAGTGCTCCCAAAGCCTTGCTTCTAGTTATTCCAGGTAAGTTTTCTGACACTTGAGGTTGTTGTTTTTTGTGCGCGTTTCCTGGATTCCGAGAACTAAACCAAGCTATGACTTGGATGGAGAAAGACTTGGGTACGGTTGTGTTGAGCAAGTTAAAAAGGGAGGAAGGAATGACTTTCATTGATAGCTTAATTGAAAAACCTTAATAGAAAGCTTAATGGATAAGCTTGTGGTATTGTAGATGTGGCACAAAACCAGTCAGAGATCTATTTGTCGAAGGATGACTTGCACCACAAACTAGGCCTAAACTGAAGGCCCAAAATGCAAGACCTGTGCTCCTTTACGTTCCTAATAATAATAATAATTTATTATTTATATCCTGCCCATCTGGCTAGGTTTCCTCAGACACTCTGGGCAGCTCCCAACAGAATATTAAAAACACGATAAAACATCAAAAATTAAAAACTTCCCTAAACAGGGCTCCCTTATAGCCACTTTTAACCATTTGTCCGTGTTTTTATCTTTTTAAGTTATGTATAGTATAATCAGCTTTTAATTAGTAGTTTTTATCCCTTACCTGTTTTAAGTCTTATGTGTTCAGTTTATCCGTATGTTTTATCTTATGCTGGTCTGCGACTGAAATAACGTTTGATACTGATACAGTCAGAGATACTTTTATATTTAAATAAAAGTAACAAGATTATTCATTTGTTGCATTATAAACGATATCATAAACACTATGCTTCAATTTGTTTCTGTTTCTTTCCTGTAATAAGGTCTTGTGTCTTTAAATGACAGTTGCAGGTTACATAAGGCTTTGCTGGTAAACTCTACTTCTTAACCCAATTGATTTATTTCACAACACTGATAAACAACGCTTGATTCCTGCGCCACAAGAGTTTAGACTGCATGACCCTCGGGGTCCCTTCCAAATCTACAATTCTGTGATTCTATGAAAGAAACCTCAAAGTGGTTCAGCACAAAAGAAGTAGTATTTTTTAAATCAAGACAAATTGATTTAAAAACATGATTCAAAACATACAAAGGTTAAAATGCGAAATGCGAAAACAGATTAAAATTACCTCAGCTTCCTAAGCATCTGAGTAGGCTTGCCGAAATAAGGTTTTTGGCAGGCGCCCAAAAGCGTACGATCGAGACGCCTGCTTGATCTCAATAGGCAGGCACTTTCAAAGTTCAATGTGCTGCCACACTAAACAGTCAAGGTCTCTCAAATGTGGAGCAGGTATTATCTGGCACCTGTAGCCGTGCCAGTTACGCCAATCGAAAAACAAGAACTTGTAGTAAACAGCTTTTTTAAGGACCGTATATACTAATAGTAACACCGTAGTACAGTGGTGCCCCGCAAGACGAATGCCTCGCAAGACGGAAAACCCGCTAGACGAAAAGGTTTTCTGTTTCTGAGTTGCTTCGCAAGACGATTTTCCCTATGGGCTTCCTTCGCAAGACGAAACGTCTTGCGTCCCCCCCCCGCTTCCCCCCTTTTTCTAAGCCGCTAAGCCGCTAATAGCCTTTTAGCAGTTTAGCCGCTAATCCTTTAATAGCCACTAAACCGCTAATAGCGCTAATCCGCTTAGCCGCTAATAGGGTTGCTTCGCAAGACGAAAAAACCGCTAGAACGGATTCTTTTCGTCTTGCGAGGCACCACTGTAAATTGGCAGCTAATGCAGATCTCTGAGCGCACCTGTTATATGTGGCAAAGACCTCACTCCTCCCCACACAGAGTGCATTGTAGTCGTCCAGTCCTGAAATAACCAACACGTGAGCTACCGTGGCAAGGCTTTCCTTGCCTATAGCAGTCAAACCTGTCACCTGCTTCCATGGGCAGAGCTGGACCCAAAAGAACCTCCAAACTGCGGACCTGCTCCCCAAGGTTGCAGGTTCGATTCCCATATGGGACAGCTGCATATTCCTGCATTGCAGTAGGTTGAACTAGATAACCCGCAGGGTACCTTCCAACTCTACAATTCTATTATTCCCTCAGGGAGAGTGCAGTCGGATTCAGACAAAGCCAGCCACAGTGCCTTTGTCTAGCAACATCTGGAAGGCACCCAAATGGCTACCCAAAATCTAGACTTGCTCTTGAGAGCCAGCAAAGATCTGTTCTCTTTCTATTCAGATACAGTTGTACCTTGGAAGTCCAACAGCTTAGTTCCCGAAAATTTTGGCTCCCGAATGCCGCAAACCCAGAAGTGACTCTTCCGGTTTGTGAACTATTTTTGGAAGCTGAACATCCGACGGGGCTTCCAATTGGCTGCAGGAGCTTCCTGCAGCCAATCAGAAGCCGCGCTTTGGTTTTGGCAGTCGAACGGACTTCCGGAACAGATTCCATTTGACTTCCAAGGTACGACTGTGTTGTTGTCGTTGTTGTTACTGTTTCAGTGAGAAGGCCCTGGAGTTTCAGTAGGGAGGAAAAGGTCCAACAGCTGCTGTTTTCTTTTGTTTTTAAAAAAATTGCGGCAGAAGCTTTCTTAACGCTAGAATTTGGTGTGTTTACTTTTCACAAGTCTTGCTATTCAGGCTTTGCGAACAGCATTTATTACCAACCAAAAACAACGTAATTATGAAAACAAAACAATTGTACTTTCTGACTGTAGCACGGAAACAGAAGTATACCAGAAGATGGTGCTGTTTTAAAGATAAGCATGGATGTTTTTTCTATATTGTTTTGATGAGCCTGTTCTCGGAATTAAAAAAATATATATCTATGGTTAATTTTGAGATATAGTAAATTGCAGCATATGTTCTTGAACGAACTGTGATTTTGTTGTAGTTTATTACTGATTATACTTAAGAGCAGTTCTTTGAACCTTGCCGCTCTCTTCCAGAAATCTTTATGTACCCAAATTGGAAGTGTTGTCCATTTCAGTGTTCTTCCACATTCGATTGGCACACAGGAAGGGAGGAATTTAGGCTAAGGCAGTGGTCCATTGAGCTAGTGGGTAGCATTTCTGCATGGACATGAAACAAAGCTTTCTGCTTTCAAAATCTAGTGCTCTGCTCTCAAAAGTTTTGTAGGTGTGTTTTGGGGTCAAATAGGTAACACTTTTAAAAAGCAGGACTTTGCCTTGCTGGTTTTAGCACAATAGCTCCTGACAACCGTTATTTGAATTTTCATTAAAAGAAAAGATAAAGGTAAAGGATTCCTGGACGGTTAAGTCCAGTCAAAGGTGCCGAGGGGGCCAGCACTTGTCCACAGACAGCTTTCCAGGTCATTTGGCCAGCTTGACTAAACCGCTTCTGGTGCAACGGAACACCATGATGGAAACCAGAGCGCACGGAAACACTGTTTACCCTCCCGCTTCTGCAGTACCTATTTATCTACTTGCACTGGTGTGCTTTCAAACTGCTAGGTTGGCAGGAGCTGGGGACAGAGCAACGGGAGCTCACCCCGTTGCGGGGATTCAAACTGCTGACCTTTCAATCAGCAAGACCAAGAGGCTCAGTGGTTTAGATCACAATGCCTCTTGTGCCAGAATCCTGGGAAATCTAGTCTGTTTCACGTTAAACCCATAGGAGACTGGCATTCCAAGAAGTGTTCATTCTTCCTTTAGATTCATTTTATAAAAATGTTGTTTTGGGTCCCTCTTCCCCATTCCCTCTTTCAGTTAAGTCATCACTAGGTATATCATTTTGCCCTTTGCAGTAGGGAAGAAGCTTGTCCTATGGCACCAAGTGGCAAATCACTACTGATCACTGCAAATCACGGCTGCCTGTCAAGGGATCTGCTTCTGTTCTGGCTTGATTTAACCTTGTGAAGAACCATGTTCTCAAAACTGGCATAATGAGCATATCCTTCCATTGAACTAAAAACTTCTCCGAGGTGGAATGGTGGTGAAGAAATTGAACAAGGAGCTGCCAGAGCTGAACCTTGTCTCTGCTGTCTTAGGACAACTCACTGTTCTCTCATCCTGTATCTGAAATATAGGTATAATGTTGGTGCTATTCTAGTATCAGGAGGGCTGTGATTGTTTGTGGTGTACTGTATTTCAGCCCCTTTGAACACTGTACGACTCTGTGAATGGCATAATTTGTTAGTGACGAAAAGTCTTTTCTTAAATGAGAGATGATGCAATTAGCACATTGCAAGAAAACTCTTTTGTTGGATATTAACAGGAAACAAAACATTTGAGAATTTCTTCTGCACACAGCACTCTTAACTGTGGACTTAGATTTTAGTCCTGCAGAACAGGACAAATAAGATTGCATTACTTTGATCCCTTTCCAAAAAAAATCCCTACGCAGATGATCAAACTACCGTAGAATGAAGTTTCTTTGCTTGGGATTAGCTTGCATATCACACTGCCAAATTCTGAAGATGGTTTGCTCACATATTGGCTGTAGATACATAGCAGAAACGCTGGAAAACGTTGGTCCAACCTCAATAAACAGTCTGGTAATTCAATAAGCAATATATTATGGGCTCGTTCAGTTTTCTGACAGCATTATTTTTGGTCTCGGCTGGCATTGTCTGTTTGGAGTGGTTTTCAGGGTCAGTAGCAATTCTAAGGAATAGCTCGGTCAGTAGAGCCTGAGACCCTTAATCTCAGGTGTCAGGGAACTGCCATCGGCTCAGGGGCGAAAGGAGAAAAGCCGGATGGATTACAGAGAGCCCCCAAAGATCGTGGGAAGCAGCACTTCCTCAGCGGAGGAAGGAAGCCACGCCTCTAGTGGAGAGGAGATGCAGGGGTTGGAGGAGGCAAGGCGGTGCCAGGACACCTTGCCTGAGCAAAGCGGGGAGGAGGGAGGTCCCCCGTTACCCAAGCCTGCCTTGCGCAGTGGGCTTCCGCGCAGAGAGGGGAGGCGCAGACTGGCCGTCAAGAAACTACTCTGCTGGGGAAGGTTTAAGGACCGCCCACTCTCAGATTCTGCCAGTGAATGAGCAAGACATGGAACAGAGGCGCTCTGCATTCTAAAGGTTTTTATCATATTGCCTGATTGTTCTCGAGCAACCAACCGATACCTCTAACATCAGGGTTGTGAGTTTGAGTCCCAACTTGGGCAAAAGATTCCTGCATTGCCCGGGGTTGGACTTGATGACCCTCATGGTCCCTTCCAACTTTACCAATTTATGATTCCACAGCAGGGATGGCTAAACAGTGGCACTACAGATGGGAACACTCTCTGTGTGTGTGTGTGTGTGTGTGTGTGTGTATACACAAACACATACAAAAATACATATATATGACTAAGCAGTTGCTGTCCAATTGTGCCTGTTTTTATATGGTCTTAGCTGTTTCCTTTCTAAAAGAAATTTGAGCAGAACTGGACAAGAAATTTCATTTGAATTTCAACAACTTTATGACGATTTATTCAAGTTGAAAAAGCCGATATTGCCACCAGTTGACAATTCCACCCCCAACCCAATATCAAAGTGATGTTTATACAGAATTAGTCACACTAGAAACTCATTTTCCGAAGCAAGAAGTAAAAAAGATAATCCAAAATTCAAGAAGATCTCAGGCGGTGACTATTTACCCCAGGACAACAGTATTTCACCCACACACACCCTTAAAAAAAAAACCTCTCAGGTGCCATAAATTGCATGCATCATTGAACACAAAGCTTATCAGGATTATCTAAAGACTACTTAACAAGGATTATGCAAACACTTCTTCCTTTCACTGTTTAACTGATGGTGGAACTGAGCGAATATTCAATATACTGCCCTATAGAATTAATGGTAAAGAGTGAAATGATGTGGAAAGCTTTGGCAATGTAAACCTTTATATTTTCTCTGGTGCTAGAAATACAATTGAAATAATAATAATCTTCAGAAGATGCATGAATTTTTATTTTTTTAGGAGAACACACCAGTTTTTTTAGGAGAACACATCTGTACAGTGGTACCTCGGTTTACGAACTTAATCCGTTCCGGAAGTCCGTTCTTAAACCAAATCTGTTCTTAAACTGAGGTGCGCTTTCCCTAATGAGGCCTCCCGCCGCCCGTGCCCTTCCACCATTCAGTTTCCGTTCTTAGACTGAGGTAAATTTCTCAAACCGGGACACTATTTCTGGTTTTGCGGAGTTTGTAATCCAAATCGTTCTTAACCCGGAATGTTCTTAAACCGAGGTACCACTGTATTAAGTACAAAGGGGTCAGCATGTGGTGACGATGCATGAGTTGGCTTCAAGTCCCAATGGTTCATTAGCAATGATGTGGCTTTTGCAGTCTTTTGATCATTGTGTTTCAGTTTATGACCTTTAGTTTTAATAGACCTTCCTCTCTGCTTTTCCTCCAGGTAATCCAGGTTTACCAGGCTACTACCGGGCATTCTTGAAAAAATTGTACTCTTGCCTGAATCAACAGTATCCGGTCTGGGTCGTAGGGCAAGCTGGACACTGTAAACTCCCCCAAGGCATGAAAATGATAGAAGGTACTGTGGAATTGACTTGCTAACATGCTACCATCTTGCAATGCTAGTACTTCCTCCATTGACATCCGTGACCGCTTTGTGTGTGCAAAACGATAGCTATCTTTTTTTTTTTTACTGTGCTCTGTGAGAGTTGAAGCATACAGTGGTACCTCGGGTTACATACACTTCAGGTTACAGACTCCGCTAACCCAGAAATAGTACCTCAGGTTAAGAACTTTCCTTCAGGATGAGAACAGAAATTGTGCTCCGGCGGCGCGGCGGCAGCAGGAGGCCCCATTATCTAAACTGGTGCATTATCTTAAGTACTTAACCCGAGGTACCACTGTGCTGTAAATCTTATCACAGTTTATACGCCCAAGACTATCCTCCTTAGAGACTATAAGAACGTAGACAATATATTCCAAGGTAAGAAGGTATTGAAATGAGAATAAATATCTTATAAGCAACATTAAAATACTATGCAGTTGGCTCACCTTGGAGAACTCTGGGATGTGATTTTTTAAAAAATAGAAAGTCAGTGTTGGGGGGAAAGTGTTGAGTGGTCCATAGGTTGATAGTACAGTCAAACCTTGGCTCTCGAACGCCTCTGCTTTGGAACGTTTCGGTTCCCGAATGCTGAAAACCCGGAAGTAAATGTTCCAGTTTTCAAACTATTTTCGGAAGCCGAACATCCAACACGGCTTCCCCTTGAGTGCAGAAGGCTCTTGCAACCAATCGGAAGCCATGCCTCAGTTGTCGAATATCTCGGAAGCCGAACAGGCTTCCGGAACGGATTAGGTTCGAGAACCAAGGTTTGACTGTAGCAGGTTTTTATTATATATTTAGTAGGTTGTTGATGACTGCATTGTTCCCCTTTTTTCCATGTCCTTCTGGTGTAAAGATGACATTATTCATATTGAAAGGGTGTATGAGGTGTTACGGGAGGAGGAGTATCTCTGGTTATGTTCCTTCTGGAGTAGTTTGTCCAGCTTTGGTCCCCACCCTGCACTCAGCTCTCACTTGTGGCTTCTAGAAGCTGGTAGTATGTGACGAAAGGGACGCAGGTGGCGCTGTGGGTTAAACCACAGAGCCTAGGACTTGCTGATCAGAAGGTCGGCGGTTCGATTCCCCTTGACGGGGTGAGCTCCCGTTGCTCGGTTCCTGCTCCTGCCAACCTAGCAGTTCGAAAGCATGTTAAAGTGCAAGTAGATAAATAGGTACCGCTCTGGCAGGAAGGTAAACGGCGTTTCCGTGCGCTGCTCTGGTTTGCCAGAAGCGGCTTAGTCATGCTGGCCACATGACCCGGAAGCTGTACGCCGGCTCCCTCAGCCAATAAAGCAAGATGAGCGCCGCAACCCCAGAGTCGGCCATGACTGGACCTAATGGTCAGGGGTCCCTTTACCTTTATCTAGTATGTGACAGCAGACACACCCCGGGAAGCAGCTTTGACTGGCTGGCTAAACCAGGCGAGCTGATGGGTCTCAAACTTCAGTGAGTTTGGGACTTCCCCTGCATGAGAAGACAGGCTCTGGTGGATTGAGCAGAATAGACCAAGAGTCAAGAAGGCGGTTTCTGTGGAATCTGTAGATAGATGAAGGTGAGGAGCAGATGGGGCTCGCTAACCTGGAAAAGTAGCCCATCGAGGAGAAGGGAAACTGATACTAAACCTCCACTGCCTCTCGGGATATCTTTGGGAGAAGAAAATAAATCCTTCACAAATCCAGAGTGGAGCCCCTAAGACAGTTGGATGGTGCCTTGTACATCCTTCTGGCAACTTCTGCAGCCAAGCCTATTGCTCTGCTTTCCTTTGGACCACATCAGGAAAGGCGAGAGGCTTCACCCTCCAAGGGAACACTCCATTGTCTCTCGAGACAGATGGCTGCCAATGATTCATGTAAAAGGAGATGCACAGTTGTGCATGAAATAACTGGGGAAAGGAGGTACATACGCTTCAGGTTACAGACTCCGCTAACCCAGAAATAGTACCTTGGGTTAAGAACTTTGCTTCAGGATGAGAACAGAAATCGTGCTCTGGCGGTGCGGCGGCAGCGGGAGGCCCTATTGGCTAAAGTGGTGCTTCAGGTTAAGAACAGTTTCAGGTTAAGAACGGACCTCCAGAACGAATTAAGTACTTTACCCTAGGTACCACTGTATACCATCTTGGGGCGGGGGGAATACTTATTTGGAAGTGCAGATACCTTTTTGCGTCTTGAAGGAATGACAGAATGTAAATAGCAACAAGATTATGAGAACCCACAAACAGTAACTGCGCCAGCTTGTAGGAGAATTCTCTTTCCTTCCTAGATCTGTGTGTGTTCTGTAGATTTTCAAAACGGGTATAACCATGCAAATCCATTTTCGCATGGCTATCTACGGAGTTTCCTAGCTGTGGGCTCAATCAGCTTGTGTTTGCCGCTGACCCATGAGAAAGTAGTAGGCTCTTGGCTGCAGTGAACTTGAAAGTCTAATTCAAGCCCCAAGGCTTGCATGTTAGACATGTATAATCAATGCATGTCAGCTTGTGTAATCCAAGCGGCTGCATGCCACAGCTAAAAGAGCAGCAGCAAAGCAAAGCATCATGTCAAACTTCATACAGCACAGATAGACTCAAATTACTGGCGCAGGTCAGCCAAGCCAGACATTTGGCAGTAGAAGGCAAAACATAAAATATGAAAGGAGGTGGTGGGGGGGTTTAACATGAGAGGGATTTTTATAAATACAGTGATCAGCTACGATTGATACACACATGCAATGATCATCTACAGCCAGTATATAGTATTTTTCTGTGTGTAAGACAGATTTTTTTGCTAAAAAAAAATTAGTTAAAAATTGGGGGTTGTCTTATACAGTGGTACCTCGGGTTACAGACACTTCAGGTTACATACGCTTCAGGTTACAGACTCCACTAACCCAGAAATAGTACCTCGGGTTAAGAACTTTGCTTCAGGATGAGAACAGAAATCGTGCGGCGGAGGCACGGCGGCAGCAGCAGGCCCCATTAGCTAAAGTGGTGCTTCAGGTTAAGAACAGTTTCAGGTTAGGAACGGACCTCCGGAACGAATTAAGTACTTAACCAGAGGTACCACTGTACACAGTTAGTGAATGCACAGGGGTTCAAGTTCGGGCGGTCTGGGCTTGGGTTTGGGCTCTGGCGTGGGTGGCCCTGGGTTCAGGTTCGGGCTTTGGCATGGGTTCGGGTTCTAGCCCGATTTCTTAATTTTGGGTTCGGAAGAATAGGGGTCGTCTTATACATGGGTGTGTCTTATACACGGTACATTCAGAGAAGACAGAACATTCAAAGAACAATATTGTCGAGTTACTAAAGTTTCAACATTTCCGACTCTGGGTTGGAAATGTCCTTGCCTGCTGAAGTCTAGCTTACAGTCTGAAAGCATACATGAATGCCTACACTGTATAACTTGAATGTTTGAATTGGTAGATACCTTCTACGAGAAAGTGAAGTACAGTGGTACCTCGGGTTACATACGCTTCAGGTTACATACACTTCAGGTTACAGACTCCGCTAACCCAGAAATTGGGTTAAGAACTTTGCTTCAGGATGAGAACAGAAATTGTGCAGCGGCGGCAGCAGCGGGAGGCCCCATTAGCTAAAGTGGTGCTTCAGGTTAAGAACAGTTTCAGGTTAAGAACGGACCTCTGGAACGAATTAAGTTCTTCACCCGAGGTACCACTATATTGATCAAATTGCTTTTAAACAAAATTTGAATATATCCTTGCTGTTTCCTAGACAGTTTTCTGTCAAAGATAGTGCAAAGCTGCAGTGGTGGGGAAAACATTAGAAAAAACCCTCAAATGTACTGTAGTAGTAGTAGTAATAATTTATTTATATGCCACCTGTCTGACTGGGTTACCCCAGCCACTATGGGTGGCTTCCAACAAATTTAAACACAATAAGACATCAAACATTAAAAACTTCCCCATGCAGAGCTGACTTCAGATGTTCAGAATAATATCTAAACATGAGACTGACTGAATTTGCTCACTACTTAGACAGTTGGTCCTAATACAGGTATTAACTTACTGTTGTTGCTAGAATCTGTGAAACTCTCAGAACTAGTGTCTTGTTCAAACCACTTATGAGATCCAGTTTCTGAAGCGAAGCGCTAATATTTGACATTAGCTTTTTTTCCTTTACCGCTTGGCTTTTTGCACCTGAACTCTTCCTCCTGTGGCTTCAAGGCTGACAAGTGAAACCCAATACCTCATGATATTTTAGTCAAATTGCTGCTAATCATTGTGGTCAAATGTCAGGCTCTAAGGCAAACATTAACACTTTGGCACTGGGAGGCGGGGGGGGGGGGAGAGACACCCCCTAGGCTTCAAACTATTAGCAGATCTTGAGAATTAATGTTTGCCGGTAAGCCCATGACCCCACACAGTGTAGAAAAGCATGATATATTGACCTCAAGCAAAATTTTCATGTGACTTTCACTTTTAGGTGGGTTTGTGTGTGTTTATCAGTTGTGTCAGTCCTCGAAAAATACCTCAGTGTGGAAATAATTGCCTTAAAATGACCTTTCCTTTTTTGGTGGTAGAACTGTTCAGGGACAAAAGCTTTGAGGTGCTCTCAGAGGAGGAGAACTTGAGTGTAGCCTTATATATTTCCACTCTTTGCTCGACTTGTGACTTTAAAAGCACAAGAATGGGTGTGCACAAGCATTTTCTATAAGCTTCCTTCCTCTGCCTACCCACATAATACCTGCAAAGGGGAAAATGGCAGTCAATAACACTCTGGCAAAATAGGCAGTGGTTGACTGAAGGGCTGTCCTCCATGCTGCCTGAGTAGTTCATCAACTTTGGCAAAGTGGCAGCAGAGCAGGCAGTCATGGGAGTCAACTTCATCCATTGCCATTTCCAGAATGACCACATGTCTTCTGGGGTCCTTTTCCTTGGAGCAAGGCATTTGGCAACCTGGAGAGCCTTGATATGTTCATGGCTGGGGCAACCCAACCAAATGGGCAGGATAATATTAATGCTGTTGTTGTTATGTTGCAGCAGCA